AAAGAGAGTTCTTCTTCCTCTTCTTCTCAGTCCACCATCTCTTCTTCCCCTCTCACCACCTGCTTCTCAGTATCAGCGGACTACTACAGAGAGAGAGTTGTGACATGAGACTTGACGACATTGGATCCAGACTCGACATTGGGATTCAGACATTTTGACGAGGGACAATTTGGGCCTGTGCTGAACACTTGGTGTTGACGACATTCCCATCTTCCCTTCTTCTTCGTCTAACCCCACCTCCTTCGTCTGTGTATGGTTGGGGCTGGCGCAGTCTTCTTGTGTGAAGCGCCAGACCCCTTCACACCATGATGATGATGATGTATGTTCGGGGCCGCATTACAATATTGATTGTTCGGATCATTGGTATCTAAGTCTTCCGCTGTGCTATCTTATACTTTGTATTGAGAGGTAAGTTCTTGTTCTGGTCTGCACCTATACGGTATGCAACAGACCAGCAGGGGACGTCCTCCGAAACCAAAGCTGCAGTACCGCGTTGGACATTGGGGTGCTGGCTGCATGCTGCACAAGCGCTGCTGCGCTGAAGCTGGCCAGCACTCACGCGCTCACGGGCGAGCTGGAAGGAGCAGGCAGCCATAGTCGAGCTGCGCTGCTGTGAGCTGGGTGTGGCGCAGGGTGGTCCTTGGGTGCATGTGGCATCTGTGTGTTGGGGAACGAGGTTGTGAGTGATGCGAGAGACATACCTTGTGCTGGAAGCGTGCGGCATTGGCCGCTATCTGCTCGTACTTCGGTAGAGCTGTTGTCGTCATCTTCGGCATTGTAGTCTAGGCTAAATAGGATCTGCCATCTGTAGTCTGGGCGCCGAGCGCCAGATATGATATCGACATTGGTTCTTCGTTGATGATGATGCTGAGACTATTCCAGCATTGTCAATTATGAGCTTTTGGTGTGATCTTATTTGGTGAAACTCGTGATGCAATTCTGCTGTTGGTTCGAGGTCACGACTATCTGGTCTTATGTGTATGATGCTGTTTGATTGCTGAAGTTCGCTATTGCTCATCTTCCTTCCAGTTGAATTATTGCTCATCTTCCTTGCAGTTGAATTATTGAATAGTTCAATAGTCCGAATACAATGTTGTTTGGTGGCAGAATGCTAGACACCATGTCTTCTCTGAAAGTCGATGAATGCGTCAGACCATCTCTGTTGAAAAAAAATCCAACAAAATCAGGGTTTGCATCCTCTTCCCCTTCTCCTCCATAAGAAGGCAAAAAGCCATACCTCAACTATGAGATGGCCAGAATAGGCATCTCCTAGCCAGCAGTCAACTTGTGAGGCTGCCTCCTCTCCCTTTACCACCTGATAATACACACACACACATGATGGGCGAACCTGTGTGAGCATCATCATCATCATCATCATCATCACCATCATCACCTTTGAGTGGCATGAGAACCGATGCGCACTTCGATTTGAGAACAAAAAAACAGGAAGAGAGTACAACAAACGGGGAATCATGGCCAGGAAGAAAGGAAGTGCATGTCGATTCTCACGGCATTTAAAAGGGGGAAGAGGTGAATAGCAAATGTCCAATTCCATGGTTTCAGATTGCAGAATTGGTACGGACCATACTTGCGCGCATCCCGTGCACAGGGTCGCGGAACATTCGGCGCAGAGCACACGCGCATGCACGCGCATGCCAATGATACGGTGCATCACAAAAAAAAAGAATAAGAAAAAAATAGAAAGGACAGGGTGGGGTAGCCAAACATGCCCCTCGCTTCTAAAAATCAGAAATCAACAGGGAAAAAGTTGGGGTCATGCCATACCCCAAAACTGTGGGCACATTTTCTGTGCGTGTGGGTGTGCACGTCCTAATTGTGTCCAGTCTCTTTTCTGAACGGCCCCTACAGCAAGTTAGCGAGGACACCACATGGAGCAGAGATAGACTTTAGACTTTCAGTTGGTATGCATGGGCCGAGAATATATAGTATGGATTCGAATTCAGGTCTGTGCATCACGGTTATGGGTCACTAATTCTCTTTTTCTCGGTTTTCTTTTCATAGGAATACGTGTAGTGGCCCTAAGGGCCTCTACTCACCACATGCACAAAAGACAAAACATATGGCGGCGTATTATTCCACGTTCTAGCAGAATATTCATTCTAATTTTGCACATTTGTCGAGTACTGCAGCCAAGCCCTGAGAATCACATGCAGAGACCAACAGGGCCTAGCTAAGTGAGCAACCCATAACTGCTGAAAGACAGACCTGAATTCGAATCCTGAGTATATATTCAGCCAGCTCGTGCTTCACTTCATATTCACTACCTGCCTCGATTTTGGTGGAGGGTCTGCGCTAAGTTCCTGCATGGGCCCTCTGATAGGTGTGGAGGGGATCCGTTGCTCTCTCTCTCTCTCTCTCTCTCTCTCTCTCTCTCTCTCTCTCTCTCTCTCTCTCTCTGTGTGTGTGTGTGTGTGTGTGTGTGTGTGTGTGTG